GACCAGCTTCATGTTGGACCATAAAATCACACAAGACTCTCCTTCCTGGGTGCCAGGTCCTCCTATAGGCAGGAGCTTTGTGCTTGGAGAGGGGAAGCTGGCCTGGGGGCCAGGAGGAGGAGAGGGCGAGCCTCCCGGCCTCTTGATCTCTTCTCCCCTCCTGTGAGCCCTCTGGTCTCAGCCAGACAGGATTTGTGATCATTTAGTTGTGTCTCATTCTTCAGCCAAAAGGTTTAGATACTGGAAGTATCACTGTGTCTTCTAGAGTACGTAAAGTGATTTTTAAAAATAAATTGGCCCTGGCTGGTTTGGCTTAGCGGTTGGAGCGTCAGCGTGCGGACCAAATAGTCCCGGGTTTGGTTCCTGCTAGGGGCATGTACAATAAATAAATAAATAGAAAATAAAAAAAATTGAATTATGCCTTAAGGTTAAGAGATTCCCCTCCCCTCCAGCACCCACCCACCCACCCAAGAAGCTTTTGGTGAATCCCAGAAAAGGAAATAATGACTTTCATAGTGGCAAGAATCATACCTTGATTGATCTGGCTTACAAGTTTTGAGATTTTTTTTGAAAGTTAGGTTTTATTAAACTGGGATTTGGGCCATATGGCAGGGGTAGGGTGATGCTGCATGAAGATCTGCTGTGCCCTGGCCCCCAGGGAGGGCCTAGCACACTCGGCAGCTTTTATGTCCCAGGCCTAATTGAACGCTACTGGCTTAATTAGTACATCGAATGTGGTCGGTATGATGAATTTCCTTCTGTTTTCTTCTCAAACTTCTGTCCATTGCAAAGTCTATCCTTTATTTCGGAGCAGCTAGAAGCATTGAGAACAGTGTGGAAGACTTGAAGCAAGTAGAAAACTAAGGAGGGTAGGTAATCGCTCATCTGATTTTTCTGAACCCAACATTTAATCCAGAAACTATGCATTTGAATCCTGCTTTTTAGGATTTGCCTTCATATCATTTCCTTCCAGTATATGGTGTTTGTAATTTGAACCCTATTAAAGCTAATAGAATTTGGGCCATAATAGTTCGAACTTTAAAAACAGATTCCAAAAAGACATAGGCTACCCAGAAACAAAAGGCTTGTTAGCACTGTGTGGATTTGTAGAGACGTCACGTCACTGCTTTGTGGTGAACCGAAACACCCACGTGACTCCGTTAGAGATCCAGCTGGTCAGACTAGAGCAGGGCCATCGCGAGAGGGGCGCACCTGGTGCTGCAGAGACAGACGTGCGACGTGCACGATCACACGGCCCTGTTAGCAGCACAGCCCAGGGGCACGTTTCTGAGGTGTCATTTCTCATTACACAGGCTCTTGGTCTGGCCGTTAGAGTGTACCAGGACCCCTACCTGGCAACGCTTGGCACCTTTGCATGTTAAATATTACTAAACCAGTGTTAATTTAAAAACTGTTCAGCAAATCAAGGTTTTCCTAATTCTAAATGGTGTTTTCCCCAGATCTTTATGAATTATTGACATTTTCCCATGTATAGAGGTAACTAGCAGACATTGATTAGAAAGGGCTTTATTTAGGTTGAGAACTGACAGAAAAATCCCAGGTCAGTCATAGGAAATAGAAGGTGGACATTAATAGACAGCAAAGTTGGAACCGAGAGAAATGTTCTCAAAATCCAGAGAACACCGAAACTACTGGTAGGACCGAGTGGTAACTTACCACTTAGTAAAGCCCCCCCCCCCCCTCTAAAAGATGTGGGGGTTAAAGGAAGACATTTGCTTTTTCTCCTTCCATTTTATTCTTGCTGGTTAGTGGGGAACTGATCTCGGATAGAAAAATCACATTAGGACTTTGATAAGTTGCTTTTTGAAACAGAGCTCTTTCCACGCCGCAGATGTTTGGAGCAAAGTGTGTTTATTGAAGTATGTTTTTACAGAAAATATAACGGAATCTAATTGAAAACTTAGGGCAGTATTTGGGGGGGGGGGGAGTAATGTGTTCTTAATGTTAATTTATGGATTAGCTTTGGACTTCCTTCTGCTGTTTTAAAACCATTGGCTGAGTGAACGTGTTCCAAGAGTCTTCTCCGATCTAAACTGTTCCATGGAATGGTGTATTTGGTGCTTAAATAATGTATAAATCCAGTTGGACAGGAGCTGCCTGTCAGTTTTATTAACTTTGACCTTTTCTCCCATTATAAAGATGGTTCGGTAAATATTTAATGGGCCCCTTATAGATCCTGACAGTCGGAGCAGTGTTCCTGGAAACTGGGGTAAGTATACAGGATTAACAAATGTCGCTCAGTCACGGTGAGGCAGCTTTCAAGGGCAGACTTTGTTTCTGGGAAGAGGAGTCCTCCACCTACATGTGCCCTTAGGGCTGCAGTGTACATTGAGGCTGTCCAAGAAGCCAGAGGCTTTAGAGGGACCCTTCCAAAGACAGACGGCAGCCAGCATGCATTTCTGCTGTTGTGGTTTTCTTTTGTTTGTTTGTTTGAGCAAATGATTGAAATGATGCCAGGTGGGCAAAATCACCCTGCCACTCTGCCTAGTTAGCAGGCCTCTTCCACTCAGAGAGTCAGCAGGGCCGGAATGGCTGAGCTTGCATGGACCCTAACAAGATACAGAGCAGAGGAGAGCCAAAAGGAGAGTCTGCTCCCTGAGCCAGGAGGGGACCCCTGCCAAGCTGTCTTTCCCTTTAATTCCATAAAGCCCCATGCATATTGCACTCATTGCAAATTCTGTTGGGGAAGATCGAAACCCAAGTAGCTGACATTTTGAAACATTGTCTTTCAAACTTGTACTGTCCCTTGCTTCCATTGATTTCCCATTTAAGAACTCTGTAGGAGAAAAACAAATTTGAGCAAAATTCATTGGTCTAAGATGAGTTGTTAAAGCCAAATTATGCCCCCCCCCTTCCACCATGAGAGGAGCTCCATTTTTATTATGAATGTGATAGATCTTTGTCTTGTATTGTGCAGCCATAAGGCTCCCGCAGCAAATCGACCACGTAAATCAAGAGGCTGTTAAAAAAGCAATATGGATGCTCCAAACACAGACATTTCAGTCTTACTGGGTGACTGGATATCTTCACTTTTATAGCCACTTGCAAGAAGCAGATCATTTCATTGGGTTTTGTTTTCTTTCATTCTCTATTTGTGTGCAGCCCAATGGCTTTAGGTGAGGCCATTTATTTTTCAGAACGTTATTACCCTTTGCATCCAGGCCCCAGCCCCTTTTAAACGGTGGTCACCAGTTTCATTACCATGAGCCGCAGCGTAGCTGACTCTGCAAAGGAAATCTATCCTTTGAAGACCATTTTGAAAAGAAATTGATTCAGAGCTTCAGAATAAATTACTATTTGTATGTTCAGTTAATTCTAAATAAATGTTTGAAAGACCAAACAAGTCTTAATTTGAGAAAGGAGAAAGACTTACTAGATGTTATAAATAGCCTCAATCCAAATTCTTAGCTTGGTTGGCATTTTCACATTTGAATGTTTTGTTTACATCTGTTTAAAATTGGAATACCTTTCAAGGATAATTTTATTATAGACAGATTGATGACAACTCTTATGATCTAAAATACAAAATGTATGGGATTAAAAAAGGAAGAGAGGAGTCACTATTACATGTCAAATGGGATACAAGCATCATTTGTCAACCAGTGAGAATTCGTTATATTTAAATCAAAAGATGCTGGTGGTAGGATTTGGGGGCTGGGGGATTATCTGCTCTGGGACATAAGGGAAGTTTCTGCAGTGATGGAAAATTTCTGTATCTTGATTTGGGTGACAGTTTTACAGATATATTCATGATCAAAACTCATCCAACTGTACACTTAAAATGTGTGCTTTTTATTTTATGTCATAACTCAATAAAGTGGATTTTTTAAAGTCTTGTTTGGTTTAGAATTTGGCAGTATCACTTCTCTTTTCCAATAGAGAAATTAAGGTCTAGAGAAGTAAAATGATCTGTCCTAAGTAATCTCAAAGCTCAGCAGTTTGTCCAGAACAAAGCAAAGGAAGCTGGCCCTCAGCCCATTGAAAGTATGCTGCTTCCATGAAATTAACTTCTTCCTCTCCTTTTCAGGGAGTCTGTGTTCATTTGTATACATTCTTGTGAAAGATCCTCCTTTGCTTATTATGGTTGATACTTATATCCTAACCACTGAAAACAGTATCCTGTGCTTCTGGTTATGCTCCTGGTTTACTGCAGTAGACTACGAGTTAGGTGGTTTTTATTATAAGCAAGACATGACAGTAGTGGGTTTCTAGAACTAATTTATCTTTAAGAACTAATGGATCTTTTATAAAAAATGTCATTGGCTTTATAACCATTTCCATAAAGCACGTATGAATAGTAGTAAAAAAAATAAAGAAAGTAAAAATTACTCTACTACTTAGAAATGCACTATTTATATTTTAGAGAACTTTTTTTTTTTTTTTTTTTTTAAATCCTCACCCGAGAATACTTTTTTCCATTTTTATCTTCAGATATAGTGGGAGAGAGAGAGACAGAGAAACATTGACCTGAGAGAGACACATCGATTTGGTTGCCTCCTGCACGACCCTGACCAGGGCCAGGGACTAACTGCAACCAAGGTACGTGCCCTTGACCAAAATCGAACCCACGACTCTTTGGTCCACAGCAGTTGCTCTACCATTGAGCCAAACCTGCCAGGGCTGGAGAGCATTTTTTAAAATGTAACCTGTTTGGTTTTTTTCTCTTCAATAGAATGATGTAAAGTTCTTTTTATATTCTAATCAATTTCCCAGTTATCGTTGGGCATTTTGATCACATCCAGTTCTTCATCACTGTGGAATGTGGTGCTGCGCAACCTTGTTCATGTTTCTTTTCCTGTTTTTTTTTCTGACTGTCTCTCTCAGAGTACATTCCTTGAAGCAAAACTTTAGCAGTTGTATTTGAAATTATTTAAAACATGGAAAGGGGTAAGATGTAGCAAGTATTGCTAGTTTAGTATCGCTTGTCCTGCCTTTCCCAAACGTTACTTTTCTTACCCTTTTGTCATGTCTCTGTGCAGTTGCAGTACCATGCAGGTCTGGCATCTGGCCTTCTGAATCAACAGTCGTTGAAACGTTCTGCTAACCAGATGGGAGTGTCTGCGAAACGGAGACCCAAGGCGCAGCCCACCACTCTTGTCTTACCTCCTCAGTGAGTACCGGGCTGAACAAGTGCTCTGCTCTGTCCTGGGCCAGCTCTACTGTGTGCTTGTGTTTGCCTAATTGAGAGTTATTTTTGTGAGATTGATGTTTCCGTTTTAAAAAATATCTGTTAAAATGAGAAAACCCAGCATGTAAGGTAACACATTTTACATAGCTTTCAAATGAGGCAGTTATAATTCAGTTCATAGTGTACATGTTTTGTGTGTGACTTTTCCACCTAGGATTTTAAGCTTCCTCATAGCTTATTCTGTGTTTCCTTGTCACATTCCCATCGTGGGCAGAGGGTAAGAACAGTTGTCCTTATTTTACCAACTAGACAGTGAGGAGCGCGTGTTGATAAGCTGCAGGCCACCTAGAGAACCTGGTGGGGATGGCATCAGGATCAGTTTGGGCTCACTTGTTTTCTTTTTAAATAGGAACATATGTGCTCTTCTTTTTTTAAACAGGGGAGATAACTGTAAGATTCACAAAGTGTACAGCTTGATAATTTTTTTACACATGTACACTTCCATGTAGCTCCACCCAGATCAAGCTATGTGGCCACCACTGCCTGAATCCCATAGGGTCCTTCCTCATGGCTCCAGTCTGTTCATGTGCCACCTCCCTCCCCTAGTTTAACGCTATTCCAACTTCGTGCTTGAACTTAACTTGTTCTTGAACTTTGTATTAATGGATCATGCAATAGGTAATATTTTGTATCAGCTCTTTTCCCACTCAACATAGTATCTATTAGATTCATCCAGGTTGTTTGTTCTTTTTGTAGCTGTATAGTATTCCTTCTGAAATGCCACAATTGATTCATTCATATACCTGTTAGGTTATTTTGTACCATTTACATCCTCAGTTACAAACTACATTTTACATTTCTAATCCAAAGGAGTATTTGCAGGTGAAACTCAGTTATTTGCCTTCATTTATTTTCTGTTTGATTAACAAACATGTATTGTACCTACTCTGTGCCAGGCACTATCCTAGGCTCTGGGGATAAAATAATAAGCAAGACAGACATGGTCCCATCTTTTTGAAGCTTTTTGTTTACTGGGGAAAAAAGACCAAAAAAAACACACACCCCTAAACAAATGAATGAATACAATAATACAATACTTTCTGGTTGTGATTGGTGTTTAGGGCGGGAACACGAAGGGTGGTGGGAGTGGGGGAAACTGTCTAAATCAGGTGGTCTAGGAAGGCCTCTCCGAGATGACATTAGGTGGAAACTGGGAGGATGAGGAGGAGAAAGGCCAGTGAGGAGTTGGGGAGGTTACAGGGGTGACTCTAAGGACTTGTTCTTGTGCCAGTGGACACTCAGACCATTTCTTTGATTTTCTTCTCAATTAACATTTGTTTCCAGGATAGAATGAACATAGCCAACCAGCCTCAACAGGTTATTTTTTGTCTGCTGTAGGCATGGGCGCTGCATCTTCCAGACAGCAGGGACCATTCTTTGAATGATACAGGACGGTTTCCACTGTTTGGCAGAAAGCTTCTTAAGGAGCGTTGCTCTGTTGTTTCTCATGTGTTGATGTGGTGATTCTGTAAATCTCACTCTCAGCATTCTAATGGGCCTTGTAGCTTGTCATTTTCCCTGCATGGATTGTCTACTGAGGCAAGGTGTTGGCGAGAAGTGAAAGACTTTCTAATGGTCCCCTAAGATTGGAGCCAAAAAGTGTATGTTACTAACTCTCTCTTGACAAAAGTCCGTGCTTAGTCCATCTGTTCACCATTTGTTAATTTGCATTGGCTTGAAACCTGTTTACAGGTGACATGCTATTATGAGGACACTTAGAAACTATTTTAAGCACCGAGGCAATCAACAGACTCTGTTCTCATGCCAGAAAAAAAAGAGGTGTTCACAACTGTCATTATACATTTATAGTAAGTCACTCAAAATACTTAGTTTGAAAGAGAAAAGTGGTTACTTTGTCCTAAGAATACAACATTGAAATGATTTCCTATAGTTAGTAGCCTATTTCCTGTGAAAATTGACTGTTGCCTTTTCACATCATTGAGCTTTTCGGGCTCACATTATCCTGGAATCCCTTTATAGAACTACTGTCCAGTAGACAAGATCTATATCTGAAGGTCAGTCAGTGCACTTTTATTGAGCATCTACTATGTGCCACTTATTGTGTTAGATGTCAGGATAGAAACACCAACGAGACATAACTGCTGGCTTAATTGGATTATAGGGCTTGGTGATTTAAGCTGGGACACTCGTAATAGATACATTATTGTAGATTTTGGGAAATAGAAAGAGAGCAAAAAGGAAAAAAATAATACTTTCACCCTGAGAAAGTTATTGTTAAGGTGTTGATGGATATTGTTCTAGACTTTTTCTATGCATATGTAACATATAATTTTTAAAAATAAAAAAACAACTTAAAAAGGATTGTATTGTCATATTGTTCTGTATCACATCTCAATATTTATTGAGTATATTTGTTAGATTTTAAGGTAGTATAATTTGATCTATAGAATACTTAATCACCCATGTTATTTTGTATATTAATCACCCGTGTTATGGTTGTATTCTGTAGAAGACTAATTACAAATTCTTGTTGTAAGTACAACATAACTATAAAATAACTTTGCCATTAAGAAAATCCCTTGACTCCCTTATAAAACAACACCTAAATCCTTCAAGGTTGCTACATTAGTTGTCTATTGCTGTGTAACAGGTTACTCCAAAACTTAGTGGTTTAACAACGGTAAACGCAGTCTCTCACATTTCTGTGCATCGGAATCTGGGTTCTGGCTCAGAGCTTCTCGTAGACTGCAGTGTGACATTGGCCAGGGCCGCAGTTGTCTGAAGGAAGGACTGGGATTCGAAAGTCACTTCCAAGGTGGTTCACTCACATGGCGGGCAAGAGGGTGCTGGCTTTTAATGGGAGACCCAGTTCCTCTCCATGTACGCCTCTCCACAGGGTGCTTGAGTGTCCTCCTGACTTGTGGCGACTTCTTCCACAGCAAGTGACCTAAGAGAAAGAGCCAGCGGAGCTCCCTCTTCCCTGGGTGACTTGGCCGCAGAAGACACGTTGCACCAGTGTCTTCCCGTCTGTTAGAAGCGAGTCTGATGGACCTCCTGGGAGGGCAGGAGACCCTCCCTTCTGCAGGAAGGTGTGTCAGAGTCGCCAGGAGGAGAGACGTTGCACAGAGGGAGGGATGCAGAGCCTGGAAGCCCCATTCAGCTCTTTCTCAGCAAACACCTACTCAGGGTCTTCTCTGCCTGTGCTGGGGATTGGGAGACGAGTAAGAGAGTTGTCGCTTTCAGGAAGTGCTAGTGGGAACAGGAACAAAAAGTAGGAGGGAGTCACAGTGAAGTGTGCCATGTCTAACGAGGTGGCCCCGATGTGCCCCGGATGCCATGGGCAGGGTGCTGAGAGACCCAGCCACTCTTCACCAGGGTGTCCCTCTGCAGTGTGGAGGACAGAGGCTTGAGAAAGCTCGATGCTCTCTTGCGTGGGCCTACAGGATTCTAAGGAAAGGTTTGGATTCCACACAGTGGACGAGGCAGTGGCGGACCCGTGGCTGGGCCCTCGCTCGCCCGCCTCGGGAACTCTGCATGGCTGTTAGCGCGGTGGCAGCGGGGTTTGGGCGTCGGCTCCTGGCAGCGGCTGCGGGGCAGTTAGGCCGCGGCAGAAGCACCGGCTCTGCCTGAGTGCGAGACCACAGGCCGGAGGCGCGCACCCTTTCGTACGGTGTGCTTGCTTTTAAAGTGCAGGGCGCAGGCTGCCCGTGCTCCCCAGGGTTAGTGATCTGTGGGATTAACGATTCATATCTAGCTTCCCCTCTAAAGAAGCTTTTGAGAAGACAAAGATGTTCATGTTGAAAGATCTTTTATCACATTGGCTTTCAGAGGCACTGATGAATGAGCTCGCTCCCCCGACTCCCGAGTGTTCCTAGGAAGTCTTAGAGAAGGGGTGCTATCATTTTCCTAAAGGAGCTGTGTGCCCTGATGCTGGGTTCACATTGTTGGGCTTCTGACCCTTGTAGAATTGCTATCAGTCTGGACAATGGCTGTCTTGTTTGATGTGTAAGTTACATATTGAGATATCTTTGTATTCAGTCTGTCAGATGTAGGGACCTGATAGCAGTCTCAGCTTTGTGATGCGTTGTTTGGTGTACGTGGTGCTGGTGGGGTGTTGGCCTTCAGCTCTACGCCACGTTGGGTGGCCGGGACTCCGGGCTGAGTGGCTCTGTCTGACCAGTGCTGGCTTTCGGCGGTAGCAGAGTTGAAGGCTCCTCTGTGTTCTTATTCTGCACACACAGAACTCATTTATGTTTGAGGGAATAAAAATAAATTGTTTTACAGAAAGGTTATTTTAAAAAATATTACCTTCATCCCCTGGAAGTTGTGGAGACAGGCTATTTCTTTAGTATCACGTTATCTTTCTTGAAAAGGTCCTGCCTGCTAAATCAAGGGACGTCTCCTTTCAAGGCTGCCTGTCTCGTCGCCCAGAGCACAGCCCTCGCTGGCCCCAAGCCACAGCTGCATCGGTTTCCTTTCTCCGCATTATCGACAGTCCCCTTTGTCCTGGGGCAGTCCTGGGGGAGTGGAAACATGCTTACCCCAAACCCGTCTTCGTTAAGAACGCCCAGCTCGCCCTGGCCGGTTTGACTCAGTGGTTAGAGCGTCAGCCTGCGGTCCACCTGGGTTTGGTTCCCGCTAAGGGCGTGTACCTTGGTTGCAGTTTGTCCCCGGCCCTGGTTGGGTCGTGTGGGAGGCAGCCACTCGATGTGTCCCTTTCACATCAATGTTTCTCTCTCTCTTTCTTTCTCTCTCTCTTCCCCTCTCCCCCTCCCACTCTATCTGAACAGAAAGTGGAGAAATGTCCTTGGGTGAGGATAAAAAAAAGAACGCCCAGCTCATAGTTTCACTTATTCTGGCGCCCACCTCCCGTCTCCTCTCTACAGCAGAACTTGAGTGAGTCGACAGGGCTTGGCTGTGGTTTCTTACCCCCCCATGCAACCGCTGTCTGATTTCTGTCC